TCTATGTTTGACTTAAATGCTAAAATCCCTAAAACAGTTAAAGGCTATAAGTTGACTCGGATAAGTTTTCCTAGAATTATTAGGAATTATCTTAAATATTTACGTTAGATTTTATAATAGGCAAAATAGGTAAAGACCCCTCCTGAACTTGACACTTTTTAATGAGTGTACACCTTAACTATACGTGATTTTAATTACCTCCCTACCTTATTTTTCTGATGTTATTACCCCCCTAACCTAGTAAATCTTTGTATCATAAATACACGCAATGTATACATTTAGATGGTTGCTGATGTGGCTGTACATGGTGGAAATAATTCGAGTACCCAGTTAAAATACCCGACCCGTCTTTAAAATTAACCCCTCAAATTTAACCCATCTCCCTTCGACCATCAGTTAATTCATAGAGAAAACCACTTCACTCCCATCAATGACAAAGACGATTGTGAGTGCTTGAGCTTGATTTTGGGAGTCGATTGGGTTCTCCGTTGAGGTGTTGTTAAGTTCTAGATCATCTTGCTTTAGGGTAAATTAGAGCCAACTGTGGAAGAGCTAACAGCTACTGGATTTCTTTGATTCTGCCAAAATTTCTACTCTTTTCACTCCACATTTGAAGGTATGTGTGCCTCTTCTGTTAGTATGATGTATAGTCAAATTTTTTCCTTTGATTTGTGACTAGGGTTTCAATATATTCTGAAAATAGTTTATGGTTGTGAGAATCGTAGTTTGAACAAGTAAAAAATTGTGATTTTTGCATGCATGCCGATTAGGGTTTATATTATATGCTCTTATAAATCAGGTCTTTTATGTTGTTTGTTAATTTTTACTATTTATATGTATTCTTAATTTATGTCTTGAGAATGGTTTTTGACTATTTTTTATTGATGTGTAGGGTCCCATAGGATACTAAGTATTTGAATTTAAGATGGAAAATTGGTGGGATATTGGTGAGTGAGGTAGGACCTCTATATGTTGGGAGTAAGGTTGAACATGTTACTAATGTCGACTCTGACCACTTGTTAATACTAGAGTTATCTGATTATGCTAAGGATTTTGGGATTAAAAAGTTAGGAAAAACTTATATTATGAGTGCTAAGGGTGGCAATTTAGTTGAATTAACAAAAGATAGAGATTTAATGGACCTTGCTATGTTATTAAACAATGGGGACATAATAGACATTATTATCTCGTCTAACTCACAATTTCAGGAGGTGGATGGTATAGAGGGTAGCCAAATGTCGGTGAGCCTTTTGATGAATCTTTCAGCACACAACAAGACAACATGGAATCTTTTATTCCTTGTGGTCCTCCTTTAAATAATACTGTTGCAAACCTAGATCTAGGGTTACCTACTCCTTTGAATACCACTCAAGAAGAGGATTCACTCATAGATTGGACTTTCTCTTCAGAAGAAGAAGAATCTGTTGCTGCTGATATTGAAGAGGACATTGTTGTTGATTCTCAACAGGAAGAGCCTGCTGGAGAAGAAGAAGAAAAGCATCTGGTGATGAATCTAAGAGGTCATTTGATTATGGAAGTGATGTCCATGAAGAGCTGAGGGTTGTTAAAGAAGATACGAAGAAATATAGACAAAAGAATTGGAAAAAACATTGGAAGGAAAAACCTAATGAGTTTTTAGGTGGAGTTAGAGTTGATAAAGGTTATGAGAACATGGATTAGCCCCAAAAGAATATGAGACAAATTAGGAGGTGATGATGAGACTTAGTATGGTAGTTCAGATCCAGATAGTTTTGAATCTGAACCTGATCTGGAAGGGGAGGGTGATCCTGTATCTGATGATGATGTAGATGAGGAAGATAATATGGGACAGTGAAGGGGAAGGAAAAAACCCAATAGGGTGGTTTATGATCCTTCTGCCAAAATTGTTACTTGGAAACTGGGGATGGTGTTTGAGAATGTGAAGGAATTTAGAGAAGCAGTTACCAAGTATGCTATAAAGAAAAGTATTCAGCTAGTTAAGGAACCCAATGAGCCACCTAGGGTCAGACTTAAATGCAAAACTGGTTGCCTTTGGTTGTTGTTTGCTATCAAGGAAGGTAGGAGCACAAACTTCATAACCAAGACTTAGAATCCAAGACACAAATGCCATAAAACCACTTACAAATATGTGTGTAATTTAAAATACTTTGCAAAAAATTTTAAAGATAGAACTACCTAGAATTAAAGGTTGGGAAATTCAGGATATGGTGAGAAAAAAGCTTGATTTATATGTTGGTAAGGTTGTTTGTTTGAAGTCAAAAAAATTTGTGTTGAAATAAATTATGGGGGATCATGTTGCTAAATTTGCTAGGATTCTGGAGTATAGGGATATGCTACTCAAAACAAATCCTTGTAGCAGATGTGCAGTAAAATTGACAGAGACAGATGATGGGCAAAAGCAATCTTCCACGTTCTACATTGTTTTGCAGCTATGAAGCGNTTAAAAAGTTAGGAAAAAACTTATATTATGAGTGCTAAGGGTGGCAATTTAGTTGAATTAACAAAAGATAGAGATTTAATGGACCTTTCTATGTTATTAAACAATGGGGACATAATAGACATTTTTATCTCGTCTAACTCACAATTTGAGGAGGTGAATGGTATAGAGGGTAGCCAAATGTCGGTGAGCCTTTTGATGAGTCTTTCAGCACACAACAAGACAACATGGAATCTTTTATTCCTTGTGGTCCTCCTTTAAATAATACTGTTGCAAACCTAGATCTAGGGTTACCTACTTCTTTGAATACCACTCATGAAGAGGATTCACCCATAGATTGGACTTTCTCTTCAGAAGAAGAAGAATTTGTTGCTGCTGATATTGAAGAGGACATTGTTGTTGATTCTCAACAGGAAGAACCTGCTGGAGAAGAAGAAGAATAGCATCTGATGATGAATCTGAGAGGTCATTTGATTACGGAAGTGATGTCCATGAAGAGCTGAGGGTTGTTAAAGAAGATATGAAGAAATATAGACAAAAGAATTGGAAAAAACATTAGAAGGAGGGTGATCCTGTATCTGATGATGATGTAGATGAGGAAGATAATATGGGACAGTGAAGGGGAAGGAAAAAACCCAATAGGGTGGTTTATGATCCTTCAGCCATAATTGTTACTTGGCAACTGGGGATGGTGTTTGAGAATATGAAGGAATTTAGAGAAGCAGTTACCAAGTATGCTATAAAGAAAAGTATTCAGCTAGTTAAGGAACCGAATGAGCCACCTAGGGTCAGACTTAAATGCAAATCTGGTTGCCTTTGGTTGTTGTTTGCTATCAAGGAAGGTAGGAGTACAAACTTCATAACCAAGACTTAGAATCCAAGACACAAATGCCATAAAACCACTTACAAATATGTGTGTAATTTAAAATACTTAGCAAAAAATTTTAAAGATAGAATTACCTCACAACCTAGAATTAAAGGTTGGGAAATTCAGGATATGGTGAGAAAAAAGCTTGATTTATATGTTGGTAAGACTGTTTGTTTGAAGTCAAAAAAATTTGTGTTGAAATAAATTATGGGGGATCATGTTGCTAAGTTTTCTAGGATTCTGGAGTATAGGGATATGCTACTCAAAACAAATCCTTGTAGCAGATGTGCAGTAAAATTGACTGAGGCAGATGATGGGCAAAAGCAATCTTCCACGTTCTACATTTGTTTTGCAGCTATGAAGCGGAGGTTTATGGAGGGCTGTAGGAGATGTATAAGGTTAGATGAATATTTTTTAAGGTATTTGTAAAGGGCAAATGTCGGCAGCACTAGCAAAGGATNAATGTTACGACAAAGTCTAGATACTTTCAAATAACTATCTTCAAGGCACTTCCATATTTTCTTAGGCAATGTCACATACATATATTCAATGACAAGAAACACAACATTAACTTCACTAACTGTCATTGAAATTTAGTTTCTAGTTACAACATCCATTTCTCGCCAATCCTCAAGTGTCATTGTTCATTAGGGCAAGCATATTTTGACAAACCCGAAACTCAAATTGATATCCAAAATTTTTGAATTTTTAAATTAAATTTTTCAAATTACGAATTGGATCTTTGAAGCATACAACCAGGACGAAAGAGGGCCTCACAAATTGGACTCTTGGGCTTTGTTTTTCTTTGGCAAGTTGTTGCCAACTTTAGCAAATTCTGTTTTATTAAGATATCGGAGTGCGATGAAAGATGAAACTGCATCTTGTGCAGTCTTATCTAACTAAATCTCAACATTCATAAGTATTGCTTAGTCATGTACCCCATCCATGTTCCAACAAAAGAAAAAAGAAGGACAAAACAAAAAATAAAATAAAAAGAGTAAACTTGGAAATGAAGTCGTTATCACTTTTTTTAGGAAAAATTCTTTATTATATGGGGGGGGGGGGGGGGGGAAGGAGAAGGGGAATACTACATTACTAATAGTGTTTAAATCCTCCACTTCAACTGTAAATGGCAAGAAGCTCACTAAGTGAGTTAGTCATCAACCCCCGAAAATAAAATAAACGTGAACCACTGAGTAATCGCAGGATATAATTGACAACACTATTGATTGTCTAATTGATTTTAAGATTTTAATAAGAAAGAAAATTGTAATAAAGCAAATTTTTGAATGAAATTGTCACAAATCAAAGCTATATGGCTGTGATCGGCACTTAGTGCTGCTTCGGTATGATCATAGTAGATTGTGGTCGGGTTTTATATGTTCAATTGATCCCATCGTTTTTATATGCCGAACCGATTGTTTCTTTTTTCTTTTTCAAAATGTGTATGTAATGCAGAAAAAATTAAAATGTATTCTTATAATTAATAAAATTATACTCATTCTAAACCCATTAACCCTAGATCTTGGATTCACGTATCTAAGTATGAGATGTGAATCAGTGTCTCTTTTGTATCCATGCTATTGTTACAATTTCTAATTACCTACTTAATAATCAAATCCGCAAAACAAAAATTCAAGACACAATTCTCTTTCGAAACCAAGAGTTTATACAGATAGGAACGTATTAATAAAGTCAGCATGTAATCACTACTTGTACATAGAATCCCTTTTTAGGTACATAAAGGTTGTGAGACAACCACAAAAATAGAGATACAAGATATTTTCCAGTTGTATTTTTCACCAATGGCATCCCCAAAAATTACCCTAAAAGACCCACTTTCTTTCAACACTTGTCATGATCCAGCTAAGTCCGTGTCAGTCATGTCTATGTGACTATGGATCTGGAAAAAAAAAAGGAAAGAGTTAAATTTAGAAGATTTAGTTTCACTCTTAACTTCAATCAACATAACTTCCATTAAATGAGACGCTTAAATTAGATCTATACCATGGTCTTTGGCAGAAAGTGCTGTGCAAAAAAGAGCCCACACAAGCACGGGGGCTCCATAACCTAAGCACATCAACGTTTACAAGGGATAGATATTAAAGAACAAATAGATATAACATATCAATTAAGGAAAAGGCAATGAAGTAAAGATCTTACAATTTGGTGACTCATTGATTCAATTTGGATAAACCCTTCTACAGGATTCATGTCGTTGGAGTTGAATTCCAACATCTTCATCTTCATCGTCATCGTTGTGAGCTCCCTTCATGTATAGCTGCAACTTGAGAACTGACGGATGAGAGAATGATAAAAAACATGAGTTTATATAGGACACAAATGGAACCCCATGGTATCTGTTTTCCTTTAGTAATTAAGTTGTTACCAACTTTACTAAATCTGATTTAGTTCCAACTGTAACAAAGATATCAAAAGTTCTCTATTTGGTCAAAGCATTAAAAGTTGCAATTTTGGTAAGACGAAAAAGTCATGAACTCAGACGGTTGTTTAAAATGTATCTTATCTTGAATATGGGTACTTTGACTCGGCACGGAGTTTAAGGAAAAAAAAAAGACTTTTGATATTTGTGGTCTTAAAAGCTTAAGGGGTAAAGCTTTGTGGGGCCATGACTTTTGTGTGGTTATAAAAGCTTCTCATTAAGGGTAAAACGGGTAAAATGAGGAGTTTAAAGTTGAATTATCTCCAAATTTAGAAATGTGCCATTTATTTTGGAACAGACTAAAAAGGAAAATACCTCATTTAATATGAAACGGAGGGAGTATTATTTATCAATAAGCTAAAAAATCCAAGTATTTTATAGGTTTTTAAAATTTTGAGACCAATTGTCACTTGCTTAGATTCCATGCACAAAATAAGCTATATCTAGTGACTTTTGTTTTTAATGCTAGTGTAACTACCCGAAAAGTCATTTTGAATTTTAGCACTTCGTTCGGGGTTCGGGACTTTGAGATATTTCATATTATGCATTATGACTTGCGTGCACATAGTCGATTTTGACTTTTGAGAGATTCGGAGTTGATTTCAAAGAGTAATTCTTAATTCGGAAGCTTAAGTTGGAAGAGTTGACCAAGATTAGACTTTTGAATAAAGCACCTCGGAATCAAAATTTAATGGTTTCAATAGGTTTGTATGGCGATTCTGGACTTGAGCATATGTTCGGATTTGAAATTTGGATGTTCCCAGAAGGTTTTGGCTCTATTTGTCAAAAATTTGACAACTTGAAGAATTGGAGAGTTCACAAGTATGACCGAGTTGATTTGATGGTATCATGTTCATATTATTGTTCCAAAAATTGGAATAGGTTCATTTTGTTAATTGAAACTTGTGTGGCAGCACTATAGGTGGCGGAGGATGAAGAATGATATTGTTAAATATGTTGCTTGGTGTTAGAACTGTCAGCAGGTGAAGTAGGAGCATCAGAGACCTAGTGGTTTGCTTTAGAGGCTTGATATTCCGGGGTGGATGTGAGAGCGTATCACGATGACTTCTGTAGTTGGACTTCCACGGACCTTGAGGAAATGTGATGCAGTATGGGTTATTGTGGACAGACTGACCAAGTTTGCACATTTCATTCCAGTTGTGACTACCTACCATTTAGAGCAGCTGACTTGAATTTACATTCGTGAGATTGTTTACCTTCATGGTGTTCTTGTGTCTATTATCTCAGATTAAGGCACCCATATTATATCACATTTTTTGAGGGCAGTGTAGCAAGAGTTGGGCACTCAGGTCAAGTTGAGTACAACATTTCATCCCCAGTGGGACGGACAGTCAGAGCGCACTATTCAGATCTTGGAGGACATGTTACATGCCTGAGTTATTGATTTCGGGGGTTCATGGGATCAGTTTCTTCAGTTAGCAAAGTTCGCCTACAATAACAACTATAAGCTGAGTATCAAGATGGCTCCTTATGAGGCCTTATATGGGAGGCGGTGTCGCTCTCCGATTGGTTGGTCTGAGTCTGGGGAGGCTAGGTTGTAAGGCACTAATTTTGTCCTTAATGATTTGCAGAAGGTGAAGTTGATCCAGAAGCGGCTTCGTACAACACAGTTCAAGCAGAAGAGTTATGCTCACAGGAGGGCTCGTGATGTTGCATCTATGGTGGGTGAGTCTCCCATCAATGGTGTGATGAGGTTCGGGAACAAGGGCTAGTTAATCCCTAGGTATATTGGCCCTTTTGACATGCTTGAAAGAGTTGAAGAGGTGGACTACAGACTTGCCTTACCACATAGTCCATTGGGCGTTCACCTAGTATTTCATGTATTTATGCTCCAGAAGTATTATGGTGATCTCTCACATATTTTGGACTTCAGCACGGTACAGTTAAATGGAGATTTGACTTATGATGTGGATTCGGTGGATATTTTGGATCGATAGGCTCGAAAGTTTAGGTCAAAGAATATAACATCTATGGAGGTTCATTAGATAGGTCAGCCTGTCAGGGAGGCTACTGGGAAGACCGAGCAGGAGATGTGGTATAGATATCCTCAGCTTTTCAAGACTCCAGGTATGATTCTAGACACGTTCGAGGACGAACGTTTGCTTTAGAGGGGTAGAATATAACGAACCAGCCGATCGTTTTGAGTATTTTAGCCCCATTCCCCCTGTTTGATGCCTTATATATGTGTGTTTGTGGTTACGTTACTTGCCAGGGTGATTGGTTTGGTTTCAAGGAGGTTTCAGAGTAAATTGAGACAGTTAGGCCTAGGGTTGGAAGCTTAAGTTCTACGGGCTGATCGGAATTTGACTTTTGTGTAGAGGACTTCGAAATAGTGTTTTGATGATTCCAATAGCTTCGTATGGAGATTTTGGACTTAGGCATTTGTCCGAATAATTTGGAGGTCTGTAGGTTGATTTGACGCTTTTCGGCAAAAGTTGGAAATGTTGAAGGCTTGGAAGGTAGATAGGCTTGGTTGAGAGTTGAATTTGTTTATCTAAGGTTCGAAATTTGGTTCAGAAGTTGGAATAGGACCGTTGTGTCATTTTGGATTAGTGTGCAAAACTTAAGGTTATTCCGGGTTGGTTTGATGTGATTCGACATGAGTTTTAGAATTTGGAAGTTCATTAGTTTCATTAGGCTTTAATTGGAGTATGATTCATGGTTTTGGTGTAGTTTTATGTGATTTTGAGGCTTCGAGTAGGTTGATATTGTGTTTTAGGACTGTTGGTATGTTTGGATAGCATCCTGGGGGCCCCGGGTGTGTTTTGGATTGGTTTCAGTTTGTTTTGGTTTGAGTTTCATTGATAGAAGTATGTCGGAACTGGTGTCATCGCAAATGCGGAAGTATGATCGTAGATGCGAGTCCACAGATGCGAGTCCACAAATGCGGACAGGTAGTCACAGAAGCGAAGTTGGTTGGAAGAGTAGAGTCCACAGATGCGGAAGTCTAATAGCAGGAGAGGGGCCGCACCTGCGGACGAAGACCGCAGTTGCGAATGCGTAGGTCCGTGCTATGGTCCGCAAATGCGGAAGGTCGGAGGCCGAAGGAATTGCAGATGAGATATTGTACCGCACCTACAAAACCGCAAATGTGGTTAAGTGACCGCATATGCAGAATCACTGGAAGAGTTCATATCCGAGGGGTTTCATTATATTCTTATTTGGGAGTTGTGGAGCTCGGCTAAGAGCAATATTTGAGAGACTTCTTGCTGTAATTGAAGACGTAAGTGAAACTAAATCACTTTTTATGGTAGATATTGATTACCCATTGATTATTACATCTTGTTTACGTGAATTTAGGTGAAATTTTGGGATTTTAGGCTATGTTATTGGAGAGTGAGATTTGATGATTTGATGGTCGATTTGCGGTTGGAATTGCATGAAATTGATATGGTTGGACTCATATTTGAATGGATGTTTGGAATTTACAAATTTTGTCATGTTCTCGAGTACGATCCCCGGGTTGAATTTTTGTGTTTGACTTTGCATATTTGATTCTTGACCTTAGCTTTATTAGTTAGAATTGTTTTCGATGGCTTCTATTGATGATAGTAAATTGTTTTGGTTAGATTTGAGTCGCCCGGAGGTCGATTTACGTGGGAAGGGCTTTTTGAAGTACTGATCTCCGCGTTTTGAGGTAAGTAACATACCTAAACTTAGATTTGAGGGTAATTATTCCTGAAAACTGTGTTATTTGAGATGAGATGGGGTGACACACATTCTAGGTGACGGGCGTGAGGGAGTGCACCGAAGTATTCATGATCCGAGTTGACTTTCGACTATTGCCGGAATTGTTTCGCTATCATGCTTTGTTATATTCGTGTTTTCCCTACTCGTTTGATTACCTGAGTTATAATTCATGTTAGAAATCATGTTTAAACTATGTGCTTACTTGGTTTAGACATAATGGGCTATTCCTGCTATTTGAGTTGTTTTCCTTAACTATATGTATATACCCAGTCATAATTGCTCATTTGCATATCATATCTCAGTCTCTGTGTACTACGTGTTAAATTCATCACATGCTATTTTTTTCCATATGTGACACTGATGGGCTGAGTTCTATGAGGTTGTGAACCCTTGTTACTTGAGAGGTTGTTGACTGATGTGGGCCATAGAGTTGTGTTGTGCTTAATATTTGGATCGGGTTGCAATTGATATTTGGATAAGTTTTGTAACCATCCCGGCCAGTCATTTTGAGAATTGTAGCCCCAATCCCCCATTTATGCTTATTCTATGTTCGTTTGTGGTTATGTGACTTGCCGGATAGTTGGTTTGGTTCCGGGGATATTTTAGAATGCATGGGACACTTAGTCCCAAGGTTGGCAGCCTAAGTTGAAAGAGTTGATTGGATGTTGACTTGTATGTAATTGACCCCGGAATGGAGTTTTGATGGTTCTAATAGCTCCGTATGGTGATTTTGGAATTAGAAGTGTGTACGGGTATTAATTTGGAGGACCGTAGGTAATCTTAGCTTTAATTGGCGAAAGTTGGGGAAGTTGAAATTTAGTGAGTTAAGATTGACCGACAGTTGACATTATAGTTGTCGGGCTTGAATTTTGGTTCCGAAATTGGAATAGGTCCGTTGTGTCATTTATGACTTGTGTGCAAAATTTGAGGTCAATCAGAGTTGGTTTGATAGGTTTCGACATCGATTGTAGAAGTTGGAAAGCCATTAGTTTCAATAGGTTTGAAGTGGGGTGTGATTCGTGTTTTTAATGTTGTTCGATATGATTTGAGGACTCGACTAAGTTCGTATGATGTTTTAGGATGTGTTGGTATGTTTAGATGGGGCACCGGGGGCCTCAGGTGAGATTCGGATTGATTACGGATTGAGTTTGGCCTTGTTGAGCTGCTGATTTTTCTGGTGTATGGTTTCCTTATACGCGTTCGCAAGAGAGGTCTCACGTTCGTGAAGAGTATGTGGGAGGTAGGTGAAGATTATTCTTCGCATTCGCCAAGGTCTAGGGAAA